CAAAACGGTGTCACACAGGTAATCGCTTATGCAAGTCGCGGTTTAAGCTCTAGTGAAACTAGGTACCCTGCGCACAAGTTGGAGTTTCTAGCCTTAAAGTGGGCCATAACAGATAAGTTTCATGACTATTTGTATGGGAACACATTCACTGTCATTACTGATAATAATCCGTTAACTTACCTCTTAACAACGGCAAAACTCGATGCAACGAGCTATCGTTGGCTAGCTGCGTTGTCCACCTATAATTTTGACATCAGATACCGTGCAGGTACACAGAACGTTGACGCGGATGGCCTGTCTAGGAGGCTGCATGATAAACCTGAAGACAACTCAAAATTCACTGAGGAATGCCAACGACTAGATGAGTTCCGATCTCATCTTTTATCCTCTGTCAAAGAAGTCGAGCTTCAACTTCAAGCCGAAGCAGTGAAGGCAACATGCCAAAAGCACATGGTCTTGGATGAGACTGATTCTCCTTGTGGTTTAGTTCAGTCACTTGCCATGTCTGCAGCGGCCATTCCAGACCTATTCCAGTTGGAAGACAATAGTGACAGTTTCTTTGCTGTGCCCAAGTATAACCATGCTGACCTTGTCTCCTTGCAGAGGAAAGATCCAACCATTGGCCGAGTCATTCAGCTGCTTATGACTGACAATAAACCGCCAACTGATACTATTGCAGAACCCCCGGTGGTTCTTAACCTTTTGAGAGAGTGGAAACGGTTTGAGTTTCAAAATGATTTACTGTACCGGAGACGCCAATTAGGACCAGAGACATCATTGCAGTTAGTCTTGCCTGATTCATTACGTTCAACAGTCATGCAAAGCCTACATGATGATATGGGGCATCTTGGGGTTGAACGTACGACAGATCTCATTCGGTCCCGTTTTTACTGGCCAAGAATGGCTAGTGATATCGAAATCAAAGTTAAAACTTGCGAAAGATGTATCCGTCGGAAGGCCCTCCCTGACAAAGCTGCTCCAATGGTGAGTATTACCACCACCAGACCTATGGAGTTAGTTTGCATGGATTTTCTCTCCATAGAACCAGACAGTAAGAACACTAAAGATGTCTTAGTGATTACAGACCATTTTACAAAGTATGCAGTGTCCATCCCAACCAAAGATCAGAAAGCCACCACCGTCGCGAAGAACCTGTGGGAACATTTTTTAGTCCACTACGGGTTTCCTGAGCGTCTTCATAGTGATCAGGGACGGGATTTCGAATCACGTACAATCAAGGAACTTTGTTCTTTACTTGGTATCCGTAAAGTCAGAACGAGCCCTTATCACCCTCGTGGCAACCCCGTTGAACGGTACAATCGTACATTACTCAGCATGTTGGGAACTTTACAAGCCACTGAGAAACATCACTGGCGCGATTTTGTAAAACCACTTACTCACTCGTACAATTGTACAAAAAATGACGTGACGGGATACTCTCCCTACGAGCTAATGTTCGGTAGGCAGCCTCGGTTGCCTATAGATATTGCCTTTGGGTTACCGCATTTGAACAAGCCCTCTATAACTCATTCTCAGTATGTTAAAGAACTGAAGAGTCATCTGGAACAGAGTTATGACATTGTCATAAAAAACTCTCAAAAAACAGCGAGGAAGAACAAAGAACGGTTCGACAGAAACATTCGTGAGTCCACACTAGGTGTGGGAGATCGTGTTTTAGTCCGAAATCTTCGCTTAAGAGAAAAGCATAAATTAGCAGACAAATGGGAGCAAACAGTGTATATAGTTCTCAAACAGATGGAAAACTTGCCAGTATACACTGTAAAACCAGAGAACGGAGAAGGACCCAACAGAACACTCCACAGAGATCTTTTACTGCCTTGTGGTTTTCTCTCTTCATTAGAAAATGAAACAGAACGCGTTACGAAACCTAGCAGACCTCATACAAGACAGAGTTCAGCCTTAGAACCTGACCCAGATGAGCCACTTGACGAAGAGGTAGATGAGTTTTATTACTCTGATCTTCCACAAGTGCTAAACCGACCATCCTATCAAATAGCGGTCACCTTGCCAAATAGGGAACTCATAGCAGATTCAGGACCGGTAAATAATATTCAACAACAAAACACACTATCCTTACACACAGGGGATCGCAAGGAACCAACCTTAGCTGGTAATGAAAATGCTGAATTGTCCTTACTTGACAAAGGCATCAACACCGAAACATTCTTACCTGACAGAATGAGTGAAACTGCGACATTCTTACCTGAAAGAGTGAAAGAAGCAGCAACATACTTACCTGAAAAAACGAAAAAAAACGAAGTATACTTACCTGACGTAGAAACGGGGGATGAAACTAACACAAACCTACCTCAATTGGATGGTGTCCTAAAGTCGCAGCAACGTGATGTAAGTTTTGAACCCATCATACACGATCAGACACATACATCTGAAAAGACCAAAGTCTTAGAGAATAGCTCATCAGCTCTGTCGGAAACAGAGAGCTCACTTCGTCCTGTCTCAGTTGAGAATCAAACCGAAACGGATGAGCATGATACTGTGCAACCAGAGATGTATGTCAGGAGATCTGAACGAAGTAGTCAGCCTCCTCAAAGACTAACTTACTCTCAATTGGGCAATCCACTAGTGACCGTAGTTAGGTCCCTTTTCCAAGGACTTAATAAAGCTTTTATTGACTCTCTTACTCAAGAAGTTGTGTACCCCGTAGAAACAATGCACAGGGACGTGCATGATATTTAATGGGGGAGGATGTAACCCAGAAGCTAGAACCTTAATGAGGTATTAACTAATTGGCTTACTAATATGATCCATCCTCAATTTAGATAAAATATAAAATATAAATTAAGGAAATTAACAATACTAATTAATAGATATCTAATTAACTAATAGATAATTTCATAATGAATTATTGGAAGGGTGAATAACTAAAATAACGAGTTTAATATTAAACATCGGTTAAAACAAGAATCTTGAACATCCCTAACAGAAACAGAAGAGGAAAGCTGTATACTATTGGTCCAGGTGGGAATCTGAAATTTCATTGGCTGAGAGAAATAAGTCCCGCCTCCGCGAAATAAAACCGTGCGACGCAGCTGAGCGAGAGGAGAGACAAACGGCTGTGCAGCACGCAGATACAGAAAGCAAAGACTGAGCGGTTAGAGAGAGAGAGAGAGAGAAAAAAAAAACAACGGTCGAGGCCGTGAAGAACCCTGATTTGGGTGCCGCGTAGATAGAGGGAGAGGCGGACTTGACTCCTTCTAATAAGAGCTAGGAACTTGGAACCAACGCGGTGAGTAAAGAAAAAAGAAGAGAAAAAGCTAACGATGCAACTTAAAAAAAAAAAGGAAACTTAAATAGCTTATCAAATTAATTCCATTCTTATAGATTTGCGTGGAGACGACAGAGTGAACCAATCCTCTGTAGGAGGGAACCGTTGGAGCGCGTTGGTGAGTGAATGAGATTAAATTCAGTAAATTATTAAATTCAAAAAGCTAATTACAGCAACCGAGGTGACAGCAGTGGGCTGCTAGACGTTAGATCCCAGGAGTTAACATCTCAAACTACCAGTTAACGGTGGTAGGGCATATAGGAGTTAACGGCTCAAACCGCCAGTTAACGGCGGTACGGCATATGGGATTCCCAGGAGTTAACGGCTCAAACCGCCAGTTAACGGTGGTACGGCCTAGATGTACAAGGTCCTCAGGGGCGTTATAGCTAACGCCATAGAATTAGCAATGCGTCCCTTAACCAAACATTTAATAATAAAAAAAAAGATAAATAAAAATAAATAAAAGCTAACTGATTAGGGAGGAATTATTTTACAAAGGTGGACCAAAGGACCAGAATTTATATTTTGTTTAATTTTGTTATAGAAAATTTTATTTATTTATTTATTTATTTGTTTGTTTATTTATTTATTTATTTATTGTGTTACAGATATACAAGGTGTCACAATGCTGTATAGAAACACAACTAAATGTATCCTTGTTGTCATGAATGTATTTCTTGTCGAATAGTGTAGAGTAATAGAATCTAACTGAGCCTATTGAGCTGAACAATTGTTGTCATATGTAATTATATTTCCAGAGCTACTGAGAATTATTTTAATAGACAATCAAATTGATGTTATGTTAGTTGAACTGTGAACCCAAACATGATTGGCTATGCCAATAGAGTGAAGCATTTGTTTAAGTCTGTAAGACTTTATGCTGTGATGTGACGAGAAGGGTCGATGCCAACTTGCTAACAGTCCTGTTGTTTACAGGCTGGGTTTTTTTTTTTTCCTTGGGTTTGATCCCGACTCCTATGATCACTCACTTGGAACGAGAACTGGATTTCTTCCTGACGAGGGAGATGGCGAGCCTTAACCACTGAACGAACCAGGACATCTCAAGTAACTGAAGAGCAGACTGCTCTCTTCTGTGAACAATCTCAACGGTGCGGTAGGAAAAAAATCGCACCACCGGACTCTGACTTTCACCCCAAGCGTGGGGATTTGACTTGACACCGGCTGACTTGTGACTCATATGATCAAATCTCATACCGAGCATTTTACTATTGTCGATTGTTTTCATCTGTTTTTGTGTGTTATCTTTATGTGTTATATTTCCCATTATTATTAAAATTTAGTATATAAACCGTTTCATGCTATACCCGTGACTCCAGTCATTCTTAAACAACCTCCAATTCTCCCCGAACCTAATTATTGGCCCATTTGTTTATTTTTTCTTTTAATTATCTTATTGTATCCTGTAATCCGGTTACAGTTACATTTTACTTTCCACATCTAAGCATGTTCACGGCTTATTTACGTTATGAAACAAGATCCACTATAAATGTAAGAAAGTGCTTTTATGTTTGTAACAAAGCTACTTTTTCAACCACATAAAACAGCAGGGTTGTTTATATGTTTCAGAGACAATTCAGTTCATCATCATAGTTAGTAACTTAAATCAATGAGATGGTGATAAACACAGAAAAGACTTTGATGAATGACTGCTGCCAGCCACATGGTTGATCCTTCATGAGCTTTTGTTGGAGAAATGATTGAACTGGTCTTCTCCACAAGCCAACATTGTTGCATGAAACTTCCTGGGTCGATCAGGATCCTAGCAGCAGAACCAATCAGAAACATGATCATATAAAGAAGGTCAGACGTTCTAAAATACCCTGAAGAGATTAGTCTCACCTGAATGGGGTTTGCACAGGTGGGAACATAACGGATCACAAAGCCACAGCGCCTCCTCCGGGACGTGTTGGGATCACTTGCATGGACAAGAAATCCATCATGAATCTGTGGGGAAAAAAAGTCATTACGAATCAAGTTGTAACTGTCTTTAGAACTATTTTAGATTACAGCAACAACAACTCACAGACATCTGTCCATCTTTCAGAGGACAGAACACAGTCTCCTCCACCTGAACCAGCTCCTCTGGGATCTCCTGGTTGACCGACAGCATGTTTCCAGAGCGGGTGGCTTGGCGATGGGGTAGCATGCCAGAGCGGTGGCTTCCTACAGTGAAAAAGCTGATCATGAGACTAAGCGCTAACTAGGACTGTGGGTTAAGCTATAGCTTCAGACGAAGTACCTGGAATAACCTGAAGGACTCCGTTTTCCTTCTGTGAGTCATCAAGAGCGAGCCACACAGAGAGGACCGGACCACCAGCAATTCCCCAATACCTGTAAAACCAAAGGCTTACACTGAGAATCAGTGAAGACACTTTTTACATTTATTTTTTCACTGGAGTCACCGGGACCTCATATCCTGATGCCAGGCGACGTAAGGAAGACCGTTCTCCCCATCAGACTTGGTCGGACTTCCTTCATTCTCCAGGATGTTGGCTGGTTTGAGAATCGGGTATTTACAGATGAAACGAGAGTCCAGCAGGAGGACGTCTGGGCCCAGGACAGCTTGGATCACTTGCAGGATACGGGGATGTTTGGTCAGGCTCATCACCCAGGGATACTGGAGGTGAACGTTGTGGAGGCTGTACTGAGTGTACTCTTTACCTGCATAGACAGTTTTGTTAGAAAATCAGTTTGGGACAAATGGATCAGACAGAACAAAATGTACTAAATAAATCCTGAATATTTGCAGCATGTGGAATTCTTTGCAGCATGTGTGATTTGTACATCCTCCTCACCAAATTCATCCTCCAGCTTAGCAAAGGCGTCTCTGGCTTCCCTCAGCTCCATCTCATTCAGCACGGACAGAGGAGACAGGAAACCCTGCTGGTTGTAGCTCTGCTGGAGTTCAGCCATCTTTGTTAGAGCGTCTCACTGCTGAAGCCTCTGAACTGTTTAGATAACTAATCAGACAAAGAAAAGATTCATATCAGATGTTGCTCAGGAGAAAATAAAGTGTTTTTATGGAGAAGTGAAAATAAAACAAAACAAATGTGAGAAAGACTAAAGTAACTGGGAAATGACTTTCTTCCTTTCCTGTCCAGAGCTTGGGTGAACGTTCAAACCCTGCACTACGTCTTCATATGAGTGCCTTTAAACAGATGACTCAGACTTTACCAAGAGACCAAATATTAATGTTATGCTTTTCTTTCCAGAAGTGTTGTTAGACTTGAGTTCAACTCAAACCTGAAGGATTAACCAGTAATTTACAGGCAACAACAATCAGTAGAACACCAGTCAGATGGAACAGAACTTACAACCATAAATCTGACACAATTAGTTAGTTTGTTCAGGTAAAGATGTAAAAGAACTTTTAAAGAAGGCCGAAAAAGAGTTAAATGTCCTCAAATCTTGGTTTGATGTAAATAAATTATCACTGAATAGAAAAATAATAATAATAATTATGATATTTGGAAATAAGAAGGTAAAAAATTGGGACTTTAAATTAACATTTTCAAATACTAAAATTGAAAAGTGTCTGAAATAAAATTTCTAGGCATTGTGATTGACTCTAATTTATCCTGACAACATCATTTAAATTATATAAAAGGAAAAATTGCAAAATATTTGGGTCTATTATATAAAGTGAAAGACAGGCTAAGTTATAAGGCCTCACGTTTAATATACTGCTCACTAATACAACCTTACATGTCATATTGTATAGAAATATGGGGTTCAACTTTTAAAACACATATAAATGAAATAAAAACTATACAAAAGAAAACTATTAGAGTTATAAACAAGAGCAATTATTATGCTCATAGTGATCCGTTGTTTTTAAAATCACAGATTATGAAAATTGAAGATCTATATTATTATAAGATAATGCAATTCATGTTTAGAGCAAAATTAATGTTTCTGACAGAAAATATACAAATGTTTTTTGAAAAGAGTGAAAGTAAATTTTATTTAAGAGGTATATGTATGTTTGTTGTACAAAAAGCTAATACATTTATTATTGAAATGTTTGAATCAGGACTGACACAGGTAGCATAGAAACAGTTCTCTCTGTACTAAAACAATAAAACATAAAACTATGTCTCTAAAACAGACCAGCTGCATGGATTTCCTTTTTCTTTTTGAGAAAAGAACCCAGATCCACCACTTGGTGGTGCACTTCACTGATTTAATCTCTTCACTTGGCAGCACTGAAACATCATCCTGAACCAGGGTGCAGCACACGATAAATATATAAACACACCAAAGTCAACCCTTCAAAGTGTGTCAGCACACAGAGGGTCTGTCTGGTTCAGTGAACTCAGCTCAGCTGAAAACCAGGACTTTATACCTGCTTAGAGTCTGCTCCAGCTTTAATATAGGGTGACCACATTTCCACTTCCAAAAAAGAGGACAGGAGATCTGTGCCTACTGATGACATCACATTATGGCAACGCCACACAAACCACGTTGGGACCCTTTTTTCCCAGGTGAAGAGCTAAAATTAATATCAGATTCTGCCAACAAAATGGCTCTAAAACATTCATGTGTAAATATTTTGCATATTTACTGCAAAATCTAATTTTTCTGCTGCTTAAGTGCTGCAACAATATTTTATTAATAAGAAATTATTATACCTTTTTTTTACTACAGCATCTGTAGGCTTCATGTGCACAGATTATTAAGGATGCTTGTTTCAGCTGTGAGATTAGACAATAGGATCAATGATAAAACAGGTTGTCATGGACTCCATGGAAACTTTCAGAGAATCCACAAATAGAGGCTTTCAGATGCTTTTATTACTGACAGATGTTTGTGAGCAGGGCCGTTGCTAGCTATTTTGGTGCCCTAAGCACAAAGTCTTCGTGGTGCCCCCCCCCCCCCCACCGCAGAAAAAACAACACAATAAAACAGTATGTGCAAGCGCTTCTCCTTAAATTCTCTTAAATTCTCTTGTATGCACAAACTGCTTATTATTTCCAAAAGGTAGGATTGATATTTACATAATATAACATACACACAGGAACTCCATATTGTTATTATTTAGAACTATGTAACAGGTCCACACACCACAAGCACCGGTTGTGGCACATGTGTTTCTCCAATGTATTTTTCAGATCCAGGACCCACTCTGCCTTCAGAGGTGCTGGCTGTGGGCTGTGCTCGGTCTGTAGGTGTGCTTTACTTCGTAATTCCTGGTCAGGGCTGGGTGATGTTGTAGAAGGTTCAGACGTGATGGCTGACAACTGATCTTGAGCTCTTGAACTGCTGGTGGGTGGCTGATCTGAACTTTTGGCATGAGCTCCTCCTTGAATGTACTTGTTCATTGAGCCTGCATTCAAACACAAAAAGATAATTTGTCATATTCATTCTATAATAAGATAAAAGTTTTAAACCATGGTAAAAAAAATACTGCAATAGATTATTTATAGGTTTATATTGGCTTATAAATCACTGGCATGTGACATGACTAAATTCAAAACTAACCTTTTTTAAGAACTAGAGAGGCACAATATACACGTTTATACACAACTAGAAAATTCTGAATATGAAGGGAGGAGGTTAGCATAATGGACTTTTTTCTTCAAATTATACCATCAGTAGCTGGTGTTCCCCTTGGCCTGTAAATGTTTATGAGATATATATTAAGAGAGCAAATACCTAATTTGAAAATAGGTTTGTCTAATTTTTCATCTTAAATCTCAGTTACATAGCCTATAGGCCACATGGGCTATTTAATAATGATATAAATCATGTCCATAGTTAACTCACGATTAATCACAAACAGCTGCTTATTTAAAAATAAAATGTCTTACTCTACCTTGACAGTGTTTTTGTCCTTCCTGTTTTTGTGATATTTAAGTATTTGGGTGGACAAATATGATTCATTTGTTTATCTCTGTTTCAAAACAGCACAGATGGGCCTATCTGACCTCACAGAGGAAACTTTATTTTACTTGAGAAAGATGTTTTAAGATTAACTTATTAAAACAAATTTTCAAAGTCTTCAAGGTCTATTTTTAGATGAACAACTTTAACACTGTTCAGACTTATTTGTTGATACAAGTCACATGAACAGGCTGAATAAAAGGATATTTCCCTTTGTTGCATTTAACTATTTCTTCTTCTTTAAAGAAGTGCTGATTCAGAAGAGAATAACTGCATTTAGGAAGACTCTCAGCCTCTCTCACTCAGCTACTAATGAACGCCCGGTAGGTGGACGGGAGGCTGCGGGACAGAGTGGCGCATTATACTTTTAACAGACTGGAGAAGCAGAGTACGAAATCTGCCCAAACCATGCAGATAGAGTCAAAATGTTAAATGTGCGGAAGCAGAGTGCAAAAAACACCGAATAAAAGTCCTGAAAAGCAGCATGCTTACCAAACTAGGCAAAATTTGACCAAAAACAGATTAATTAACAGCAGTAACAAGTCCGAATTTAAGCTAGGTCAAACGACCCTCTGAACTTGATCACACGTGTTTAGAATTGGAAATGGATAAAAAAGCAAGAATTTCCATTAAAATACTTGTCTTACCTGCAATCAAAGGAACAGCATTATCCCGCTGTGTTTCTTTTGTCTCTTTACTGCCCCGGACTCCTGCAGCCTTTTCGGAGCCATGACTGTGCCCGCTGCATCCTCCGCAGGTGTACTGCTGGGGTGTGGGGTGGGGTGGGGGGACGGTGTGACACGGTCCATCTCCTTTACTTTTTGTATTGTTTTCTCTCTGTAAACATGCTGTTAACTTGCTTTGCACATCTTCTAATTGAAATCTGTCTTTATCATATTTATTATTTTTTCATAAGCTTGCGTTTGGTGCGCCTCTCCCGGCGTGGTGCCCTAAGCGCTGTGCGTGGTGTGCGTGTGTGGAGCGCCGGCGCTGTTTGTGAGTTTAGAAAAGAAACCGATGACAGCGTGTCCGACAATTTTGTTTTTCGTCTGACAATATTAGGAGCTGTCAGTGATGTCTGAGATGCTTTTACAAACACTGTATAACTTCTGGGGAGCCCAGTTATAGGGGTGAGGGGTGTTCTGTTTTGCCTTGGCCCCCCAAAATGCCTTGAAACGGCCCTGGGTTTGTCTGAGTTTTGAAGGTGATCTGAATTGTATCAGATGTATAAATATTACATGTGTGTAACTTATTGTTTTGTACAGGTAAAAACATGTAGTGGAGATAAATCTACCTACATTTTACATTTCAGCACTTTGCTTTGTTTTCTTGTTTTTATTGAACTATTTCCTGTCCTGTCTGTCTCTCATCTTCCTGCATCTCCTCTAAACTCTCCAGAAAAACTGCTGCCTGGATTCTTACTTTTTCACCTCATCAGTTACTTTTGAACTAAGCAGATCAAAGGGATCTCCTGACAGTAAAGCGTAGTGCGCGTTTCGATGCTGCCTCAGTGAGGTGAAATCACCGCAGCACACGATGAGTGGAGTGCATCAGAAACGATTAAAAGACAGAATACCAGAGGATTTAAACAGATGCGAATGATCATGTGTTAATAATAATGTTTTGTTGAGCCACTTTGTGAATGTATCGTGGGCCGGACGCAGCGCGCGCACCAACGATCAGCACTCTGCGTCCTCTCCGCTCAACAGAATCCCGCTACGCTGAGAGTCCATAAATATTGTAATAAAGGTAGAAACTGGATCTTTCCCTGAAAGATATAGACCCCATAAGTCGATCCCTGCTCCTGGATGAAAAACAGGACACTTTATTCCATGTAGGAAACCCTGCCGGACGTCCCGGACAGAGAGTGAAAAGTGGACATGTCCGGGGAAAAGAGGACGTATGGTCACCCTATTTAATACGTCATTCTGTGGAGCTGTTCTGATCTGATGGATCACCACAAAAGCCTGAGAGATGGTGGACAGAATCAGCCCAGACTCACAGTTGAAGTTCAGGGGAAGGGCAGAAAC